TTAGTATATATATATATATATATATATATTAAGTGTATCACTTCAGAGTAAAGAAGAATTTTTTAAGTGTCTTTAGTTGAATTATTTTCTGTTTATTGAATAACTATTGTTCGTATCTCTGCAGCACTGCAGCAGAATAGAGACATTTTTCAAAATATTTTATTTAATTTTTAAAATTTCTTAATATACTTGTGTGCCTGAAAATAATAATGAACGTGTTAACTTATAATATTAACGTGTAATTATTAATGATTAAAATGAAATTAGTCGTCATTGAAAATATAATAATTTCAAATCCAAAGAATAGTTATTAATCTAAAATTATAAGAAATTTTAATGCCTACTTTCAACTATTTTTTTCACATACATATTCCTTTTCACTCCGAATCGGAGCATAGGGCTTCTATTAAGGGGATATAATTATCGACTGCGTCAACCTTCGTCTATCTGAAGGTATCTCCAGATTGAATCATGATAACATGTCTTATATACCAGTAAATTTATATTTAATATTTATAGTGGTCGTTACGCCACATTACTCTCTTTCCAGAATTTTACATCTGATGGAATTCGGTGAACGAATTCCACTAGTTGATTCATGCTGTTACTTTTTGGATCATTATATTTTTATTTTTTTTCCTTTCTTTTTTCTCCTGTTATTGGCCGGGAGTATTGTATTTATTTCACCGGATTGTTGAGCATTATTTTGCGAGCAAATCATTTGATCAATGTGGATCATCCATCAATGTTGGAGAGTTCATATGACGTCCAGAGGTCACCATTAAGAGGAAGTAATTAGCGACCATGTCAACCTTTATCTTTCAAAAGATACCTCCATATAGAATCTAGTTAACATGCCTAATTTAATAGTGAATCGATATTTAATATTTATACTGGTAGTTAGCCACACTATCATAGCTCTCGATCTCACTCTATTTGTGGCCAGGCATTGTGCCACACTCCTTGTCCTTCCTATTGTTCACTATTAATCGTCCTGCACAAAGTATGTTTAGTTCTTTTTCGTTTTCTATTACCGAAATTAAAATTATATCGAATATATTTCTGCTTTTAAATTTCACTTGAGTAAGTGCCAGAAGATGAAAATAAAGCATTAATTATTATTTGAAAGTCGAATTAATTATCAACAAAAGAAAATAGGTCAAACTTGGATCTTATTGAAAAAAATATTAACTTAAAAAAAAAATTATTTGAACAAACTAAAAATTACCTTAAAGCTTATTTCTTACTTATTTTATATTAATAGCAGAAATGCGCATTCCTCAAAGCAATTTCTTGAGTTCTGCGTGGAAATATTTACTATATTTCCATCCTCATTATTCTCGAGTAAAAGAAAATCTAAAATTTTACAAAGGCTACGTTAGACCATTAACATTATTTTCTAGTAATTTTGTCAAAGATTAATATTATTAATATTAACAAGGAGTTTTGTTGCTACGTCTGGGGTTTTTTTAAAATTTAAATAAAAGTTATGTTTAGGTGTTGGAGGTAGGTAATGCACATTTTTATTTTCAACGATTGGGGAATATAAATTCTACCTTTTATTCTAACTAAGAGGCTCAACCTCCTGTTCACCACAATCACAAGCACCTCGTAGTTGCTTTTCATTCATCATTGTCAATTAAAAATAATTTGTTTCGCTTATAAAATACTGTAATTATAATAATATATGGAATTTTTTGGTAATATGTCAATCGTAACGAAATTTACAATTACTTGGGTTTAAAAAAATATCAATTGTGTTTGGAAAAAAATTATTAGACTTAGGAATACAGAATATGAGACACAATGAGAAGTAAAATAAGGGAAGTAAATTTGTTTGTTAATGATATATAATGATTAGTTTACATCATACCACAGTTGAAATTCGAAACAGATTTTATTAATCTTAAGTCTTTGATATTTTTAAAATTTCGATTTAAATATTAAGATTTGTATCTGACAACACTTAATCTCTAAATATTTTAATTTTTTATTTTAGGGGAGAGTTGGATAAAACGGGATACCATTATTGTTTTTATTTACTACGGAATATCTGTTTAGGAAAACAATACATTATTTTTTTTGTAGCTACAACATTTATTGAAGCACANAATTTTTTATTGTATTTACTCTTTCTTTTGTTACTGTTGACATCAAAAAAAGAGCGATATTTTAAAATAAAGATTTTGAGGGAGATAAAGAATTTTTTCCACATCAATAGATTGTTATTATTTAAAGCAAAAAAGTAACTGCAAAATTCTTAAAAAACACTTAAAATTACATTACATAAATTACACAAATAAGCTGTAATTCAGCTGGCTGTTGAATAGCCAAAATTGTTTCCGTATAACCTTAGTAGTCAATAATTCTCGAACTACTAACTGAATCTTATTTTTTTTCATTGTTCCCCTGTACTGTCGGCAAAAAAAGGATATCACCCTGAATAACTTTCGTTCTTATGATTGGATTTTCACGTACTAAGTGCCAATCTTAATTGTTTCTGGGGGTGCTCTCAAACATGCTAATTGTTTAGAGCTAACTATTAATTAAGTTTCGAAATCGGACACAAAAACTTACTTTCTCTGAATAAACATAGATATTTTTTTACATATTTGGATTCTTTATTTTTGAAATATAGGAGGTATCCGCAATCTGAAAAATGTGGTCCCCATAGTTTGGACAGGAGAGCGATTCGAAGTTCTTACCCCTTAATGTTAATTTCACTTTTTGCGTTTTTAGTCATATTTTTAAAACGAATTAAGCAATTCAAAAAAAAGTTGCACCCACACATATAACTCCTTTACCCAAAGATAATTTCATGCAAAAAATAATTTTCAATGATTATTTTTTATTTTTTAGTATTTAATTAAATTGAGGATGAAAAAATGTTGAATTTTAAGGTATGGATATTTCTATACCATATTAATCTACATATTTTCCAATTGAAAAACCTAAAGTTTCAACTGTTTTTATTTATTACAAGCAGATAAAAATTGAAATTAATTATTTTAAAAAAATAATTTGCGACGATAATGAAATATTTCAATGGGGCGATTAATATCAAAATGCGATTAACTTACGAGGAACTTGACTTCGCACGCGTAGCGTAAAAGTTTTTTCATACTGTTTTTTGCTAATAACTGATTGTTAATCTTTTTATTTTAATATTTTTTAATAACAAAATACGATGTTTTTTTTAATCGTCTGAAATTTTTTTCTTAATCTAGAAAAGAAATTTGAATAAAACATTTTATTGAATAAAAAACATTTTATTCAACGAATCTCGAGTTTTATAAGAGCATGCTTGTGATAGAATATATGATTATACACCAGATTGTGCTTATTTAATGTGGTTATATTTTATTTTTCAGTTTGTTTTCTCAATAACTGATAAAATTTAATAATATACATACGTATGCATAGACTTGGAATAATATATTAATCAATTTCTTCAATATATATTTTATAATTACTAATACGAATACGTAGTCAACATTTTTAAGCATTTTAAAATTTCTCAACATCTTATATATCGTCTTAATCTCAAAATAAATTTTTTAATCACCTGTCTGGGAGTGTTTTTCAGATCTATTTTACCAATTATTTGATTATATTTTAACATTTTTAAAAATCTTATTCTTTATGCTACTACGTATATTATTTTTTCATTATACTAATCAATGTTTTTGGTACCTTAATTTAGGTTTTCATTAAAGTAAAGTTCCTTTTTAAATTATTGTCAAGT